GAAATAAAACAAAGTAGTTCATATATTCAATTTTTAAATTTATTAAATAAGGAGGAAGAATTTAATGAGCAAGTTAGTGTAATATAAGTTTGCTCATCTTTGGCAATACTAAAACCCTAACTGCAATGCTTTACCTGCAGTTATGTAGAGAGTCACACATGCTTAACCTCAAGTATACGTGTAATAAGATGCTTTTAGGGAAGAGATGTGGAGTAAAGTTGATGCTGCACTATAATCCAAAAGGTTTTCTACCAGCAGTTCCTTTTTGTAGGTTGTTTCAATCGTGTCAAGTAAGACAACTGTCAACTGAAAACTAGTATCTGTTTTTCATAAACATTTTCTTGAGGTTATTGGAGTGTGAAACCACATGTTTTCTTAATAATCAGGTTTTCTTTCACGCCAGTTACACTGCTGCCTTTGTAATAGAGTATAATTTCCTTGTAATAGCATTCATGAACTCAAACTAGATGCATTTTTAAGCCTATTTTAGCATGAGAAATAAACAGAGCTGGACTGGAAGTTAGGTTTCGATCACAGCCTTCTCTTTTCCATCTAATTTTAAACAGCTTTCTTGACCACTGTTATTGTCTTGGCTGCATTATTCATCCCCTTACTGCTGCCACAATGCAACCAGTGTTGTCTGTTGTCGTCAGATGAGCAAATAGTTTGAGAAGATGCTGTTTACCTGCTCCTGATCCTCCTTGTCCCAACAATGTGGGAGGTGCAGCAAAGCTAAAGTGTCTGAGGTTAGTGAGCGTGTTTTCTAGGAGACTATACAGAGAGCTAACTTGTGAGGCAGTGCTGATGTATTTAATAAATTCTTTTGCTAGTTCCTTTTGTTCTTTCTAATAACCCAAAAATGCAAAATGGGCAATGTCTTTCAAATATCTCTTCTAAACATAGCTTTTCTTTTCCTTCAAAGTGAGGAGAAAATTATTTCTGCACAAAAACCTTGCCACATGAGATGGTTATTTCTCTTGGCAGCTTCTATTGCCAACGATTCACTGATTCCTTTCAAGAAAAGACAGCTAGATAAAACTGTAAGGATAACCAAAGCAATGTACACAGCAGCAGAGTAAGAGCTAAAATGTCACGATGTGTAAGTAACAAGTAAAATCTGGTGTAATGACCTGATACATATATCTGGTCCCTGCACCTAAAGTCCATGGTGAGGAGGGAGGTTAAAGGCAAACGAGTTCAGTTTCTATAGTGGTGGTGAGATTAGAATTTACATTATAATTGCAGGCTCCTTGTCAGCAGAAACAAAAAGCCACCCACCTGCTGTGTCTCATTAATGTCTGTTCTTCTTGATTGTAACATTACAGCACCTTTCCTTTCAGTATTCCTCTCTTTGAATCATTCATTGTTGCATCTGCTGCAAGAGAAAGCAATATTCCTAACATGGTCCTTGTTCCCTGAAAAGATAGCAAAGCACTTTAAAAACATGAGTAAGGACCATTTCTTCTGTTTCACAGTAGACATGTTGAAACACAGAGTGGAAAAAAAAAAAAAAAAAAGAGCATCTAAAGCTGTGATTCCTCAACTGTTGCTTTAGTCTACTTTATGATGTAGCTGCAGAGATGCTTGTGATTGTCAGTCAAAGGGAGGAGGTGGTGTGAGGTCAGGAGTCTCAAAGGATACAGAAAAGGATAGGCATTCTCCTTCCTTCCACAGTGAGCACAAATAAGCTTAAAATGATGCATTAAAAATTCAAATAGGTGCATTAGACCACCCTTCTAATCCCTCGTTTATGGAACTAGAAAGAAAACCCAGTCTCTTAGCCTCTCGGCCCTCAAATTTTATTTAAAAAACAAACAAACAAAGCAAAGAAGAAACTATAATCAAATCTACCTTTCCTTTTTCCTTCACAGGTATCTCTAACTTTGAAGTGCCCTGTCAGTCTTGAGTAATAATAATCATAAAAAAATATTCAGCTAGATCACCATTGCCATGTTTCTATCATCTCTATTCTGTGGCCTAGCATTAGGAAATATTTTGTACGATCGAGGCACTTTCTTTTAGTGTGCCACCTGTTCTGCCATCTCTTCCACCTGGCTGATTGAGCTCTAATTGCTGAGACATCCTCATGATACTGCACTAAATATGACGGCTTTAGTCAAATAATAGGGTGTAAAAAAGAAAAAAAAAATTCAATATGGTCAAGTAGTGAACAGTTAGTTGTATCTCTGTCCTCCTAAAAATGGCCATATTCAATTTAATGATCACTGATCAGTAGTTATAAAATGAGAGTATTTCCCTATCATCACAAATATGTGTGTATATATACATATAGATGTATTCTGTCACTCTCCTGGACTTTGATGTGCAGCTCTAGTGTTCTAGTCTCTCGCTCTGATCTTCCCAGCTGGCACTTAATAAAATACAAGTATCACAAGGCTTGGATTAAAAAGCCAATTTTGTTGTTGCCAGTTCTATCGGACGTAAGTGAATAAATCTTCCCCTCCCTGAAAAGCTTCTAGATTTCTACATACAGTACTGATTAAGGCTGTATGTACTCAATTACTAGCAAGACTGTACTTTTCAAAAAACATGTCTTATTTCCAGTCAGAGTTAGTCTTCCATAACTGATATGTTTTTTGGTTGTTTTTTTTTAATCATTCTCACTGCCTGGCCAAATTGCATGCTACTAAGTGAGATATTTTATAGAAATCTACTATATTATTATTAGTTCTAAGATACCTTCATCAACAACAAGAGAAATAAAATTTACTTTACCATAAACCTACAGTTATATGTATTAATTATATTACTCTCCTTAATCCTTAATCGGATTCTATATTAACCATTCCATTAACTTTCTGCAGACCCATATCACACTCACAAGGTTGTAATTACGTGGATTAACAAATTTACTTTGAGAAATGTCCTTAAGTTTCCTCACATCCTCTGAAAGCTGCTGTGGTTTCCCAACAAACTGAAAGAAGGAGATGTATGTCCCCAAGCCAGCTCTTCTAAAATAACTGGATACAAATTACACAGAATTGTAAATATCAAATTATAAACCTTAGTATCAACTCATTAATGTCATCCTAAATTATTCTTGATATGGAAATATTTAATAGTCTCAGCTATACCAAACATCTGTCTCTTCCCAGATACACAACAGAAGTGCTTATTGATCTCTTTTTAATTAACTGTTACTAAAGCCAAGATTTCCCTCCAGTAATGAATCACTATCAGAATTCCTGCAGCTTTGGTTTACTCAGGAAAAAATCTTACTCCTTTTATTGCTAACAATATTTGCAATAGCTTGTTCTTTGTATCTGTTTTTCTTGACTAAACTCCTACATTCTTAACCTCTGCTTTATGTTCAGTATGGTTCTTTTTTTATGCCATTCTAACTTTAAGTCTATTTGGTTTTTTAGTTAAAATGAAATTCTTTCTGAGAAAAAGGTGGTGGCTTTTTCAAACAGGATTGATTCTTAGAAAAAATATTCTTAATTAGCATTTATAGTTTTCTGCACTTTTTTTTTTTGTATTTTCCTCATAGTGTTATGGTTTCTAATTTTTTTTCCCCTTAGAAGAACTGACTAATTTCAGAGTTACAAATGCAGTGGTTTGGATGTTAATCGTGCTTGCAGATAACAGTTCAAACTCTCATGATTTTTTTGTACAAAAGTTACGCTCATCTGTTGTTTTTCATGTGCTAAGATGACTTCTTAGAGAATCTGCTTGTCCCAGACACAGTATTTTTTGTTAGTGAGAAATCTTTTGTCTCTAAACACTTTTTAGATAGCACTGTCTCCACTTCTGCACCCACATATGTTCCTCAGAATTTAGTTATTCATGATAAGGTTGATTTTTACCCACTCCCCTTTTGTTACATGCAGGTGCAGCTATCTTGGGATTTTGACTCCTTAGATTGTAGTAGACACCTATTAGTAAACTACTTAGTATTTTTCTTAGGCTTTTGACATCATGTTATTCTTGAGCTGTCACAAACGGTGTGATTTTTTACATCAATTGCCATTTTCCTTTCTTTTTTCCAAGTTGCTCCTCTATGAACAACTTAGAACTTTTTTTTTTAACGACCCAAGAATTAGACTCACCCCTCCAGCTTTCAGTAGAACCGCTTCGGCTTTCTGGTTTATAGCCCAAGCTCCCAGCATTGTCGTACAAGCCAATAAATTACCTCTTCATTATTCTCTAATGCCAATGTGAGTTCAGGATGCTGAAGACCTTATACGTCCAGCATCAGTCTGCATTAGCAGTGACAACAGAATAGGGTGCCAGATGTTCCTAGAGATGTTGATGACAACACTTGCATTGGGAACAGAGCCTGTGCTAGAGCTGTAGAAGGTGGAGCTGGTGATGTTGAATCAATATGGGTATAAGATGGGTTTGGACTCATCCAGTTGTGGGACTGCTCTGCAAAAAACTGAGATAGCCTTTTCAGGATGACTGCCAGCCAAACCACATCACATGTCACCCTCATTTCTAGGAAAACAAGCAATAATAATCCCATTAAATGCTCTGATTCTAATGAAAAAACATTTTTTGAAGTGTTTCCAACCATCTCGGTTGCTCGACCCACTTTCTGAACGACTGCACCCTCTAATGGGGTAAAACAGATTGACTTACAAAGCAGCCAATTTATTTTTTATATTGTTTATATCCTAGTCCTTCTAGGCATAATATAACTGACCATTCTTGTGACAGTAAAACAAACACAGTTTTGCTGAACGTAGATTACAGGAGAGGTGAGAATATCCAATAAAGGATTTATATAATTCATCTCTACTTTGGTTTAACGAAAAGTATGTAAATAGTTGTATACATTCATGGTGAAATGAGAAAGGAATTTTAATGAAATCATAGAAAAGATAATTTATTTCACGTCTAAATATAGAAAAAAAGTTGTTGTTTTTTTTTCTTATTGTGCGAAGCCATCTCATTTTACCAAAGCTTTGTGGGGAAGTAAAACAATCAAAGTGAGATGAAACAGAAACTTAACCATGATTTTGCATCTTGTCAAACAGGTAATTCTCTAATGGACCAATGAAAGCCAACGATGACAAGTTGTGGTCAACAGTCCTTGAATGTGCTGATGGTTCTGCTTTCATTACTCTTGTCAGCAGGTAACTTTTGTACTTTGCATTTATCTTTCACTGATGTGTGCCACGGGGAAAAATTAGTTGCAATATAATACTGGGTTCCTACAGAACAAACAAGATCAAATGAATTGTTAGTTGAGTAATAAATAAATATAGTGTCTTTGTGTTTAAGAACTGGATGCTAGAATTTGAAATGCAATTGAAAATTTAGTTTGAGAAGGAAAAGATGATGGGACACTGGTATGGCAAAGCAGGCTGAAAATTTAAAAGAAACAAAGCTACTGTTTTGAAATGCTAGTTTTTTCAGCTCGTCTAAAAGAAAAACACAATCTCTACACCACCATACAATCCAGCCATTTTGCTAAATAATCATCTGTTGGAAGCAGAGCAAGTCAAGTTCCAATCGTGTGGTTTTCTCTGCATACACAAGAGTATGTAAGCACGTGAAGGACTGAACTTGGAACTTCAGCTATTCTTGAGATGGATAAATGATAGATACAATGTAACTTGTCATATATATTTAAAAGAAAATTGCATGACAAGATGGTATGCAAATATTATGTTATTTTCCTCAATCTAAAGAATTGACTGGACCACAGAGTGGTTCCAGAGTGTTTTCTCATGATGCTTGGCAGATCTACCCTAGTTGTTTGCTACTAGCACACAGAAAGGCTTTGTGCAGAAATCTGTCAGTTGTTAGGCTGAGAATTAGTTGAATGCTATGATTATTATTTGCATTTGTTCTTCAGGGGTTAGGTATGGCATTAAGGTTTTCTGCAATTATGAATTAATATTTTTAAAAAAATAACTAAATAGGTTGGAAGTCCAAATAGATTTCATCCTATGAGTTTTTAACTCTCAGTTACAACTTCTCTTATTCTTTATTCTCGAAGTACTTCTTAATCCAAAGAGATTATTTTTTCCTGGCACTGCTCTTTATTCCCTTCTATTACATCACAACCCTAACCACCATAATTAAAACTTTACGAGGCATTATCTATCTCAAAATATCCTTGTGCTCCAGTAAGAGTTGTTACTACTCTGTGTATTAGATCCTCACCAATTAGTTCAAGTGTGTGTTTTGTTGCCCACAGTCTCATTGCTTGTTCACAAGCGTTCAAGTCGATTCTCGCTAACAATAGTTCATTATTTAGCTGTAACTGACACAGTCCTTTTGCTAACAATGTTCTAATGGTATCAACTAGACTACTTCTCTGCCTAATCTTAAAATACTATTTTCCTTCAGAGTCCTTCCACTGCTATCCCTATGTATGGCGCTGCATCCCTAGATATGTAACTACCCTCCTCCTATTCTGTACTCGATTCAGACACAGGGGTTGTAGCAGCTTCTTTGTTGTTTTCCAAGGTGAAGTCATTTCAGAAGGCTATTTCCCTGGTACATGAGTTAAACCAATTATTCAAGACTTCAGTGAATGTCTCCCAGTGAACAAACATCACAAAACTTTTCCAGCTGCTCCAGTTCTCTTCCGTTGATTTTTGTTAAGTTTTCATAACTTTATCACTCTTTATAGAGGACTTCTACTAGATACCTCCCAAGATCCAACTTCAACTATTTTCCTCAAGATGATATCAATACCTATGTTCCAGTTGAATCGGACACCAGTTCTACTGTGTGTGCAAATAGTAGTCATCAGCCACCGGTATAGATACACACTTATTCCTTCAAACACGGACGTAAAGCAAATTTTCTGATATTTTTTTCTCTTAGAAGAAAAGTACTGCCTCTGAAGTACAATGTTTTTGTTTGAACTTACATACAGCTTTCACTTCTTACACAATTTAGATATTAACATCACAAACTATTGTCTTTGCAAATGTGTACCTTATTTTTCTGTTGCTCCTTGGCTATTAGTATTTTATTATCTGACATCCATTATTAGGATATAGAGTACAGGCTTAATTTGAAATCATCACAAGCCTTTCATGCCAGCCTAACTCTGCTCTTTGGGGAATCCTGCTACTGACATCTGTAGGAGTGGGTTTGGGTGATTGCTAACTCACACACATTTTACAGGATGAAATTTATTATTTTGCAGCCAGTGTGAATGTAATTTTTTTGTCCAAGACAGGACAGCTTCCATAAGGGAAAACTACTGACTTCATGTAGTGAGAATGACGGGGGGGGAGAAGGATGTTATTCTCACTGGAATTATATGATACATCATTTTCAAACTGAGCTAAAATCAAACAATCTAATGGCAGTATTCCTTTTGAGTTCCCCTAGATTTAAAGACTTCTGCCTGCAAGGTCATGCTTTCCTTTCAAGCCTTTGACATACGGAGATTCACAATCTTAGTACTGAATTTCTAAAATCTGTATGGGCGGTTGAAAACTGCACTTAACAATTGGAAGCGTAACTTTCACTGGCTCCACACGAGGAACGAAAGCAAGGGCACAAGGAGCAGAAAAGTCCCCAGAGCAGCTGTTCTCAGAGCCAGGTCTTCGTTGTGTTAGAAAAGGAGAGAAGCAGCGACAGTGGCAGCGGAGCAGAGGTACAGTCAGACACCAAGATCGTGGCTCAGCGTGAGGATGAAGTTTGGCAGCTTTAGCTGTGTGGTTAGGAAGGAGGTGCAGTTGCCTAACATGGGCAAAATGGGCTGTCAGCCCAGGGAAGAATAACGCTGAAAAGAAAGGCTTCAGTTCAGAGCAAGTAGGCTATGGCTCCATTTTAAAAAAGGGCGGAATTGGATTGAGAATACTGAAACTTCAGACTGATTTTTATTTCCATGCTGTCAAGATCACGGCGGCAGGCGATTTTAGGATTTGTGGACTCTTACTAGTTGTACTAGCCACGAAAGGAATGCATAATTAAGAGGAGGAGAAACACACAGTTAAGCCAGAAGAATATCCTTTCTGACCACTCACTCTTAGATTTGCTTTGCAGTGGTGTTGATACTTAAATTAATTTAATGGATTGAAACACACTGATAAAATCAGGGCTGTCAGCAAGGCTTATACTAAAAAGCAAAAATTGCCAGATTATTTGCACATTACAGTGTTTTTTCTTTGAAGTAGGAAATGAACGTCCATATAGCAAAATTATCAGAGGATCTCAAGTGATTTGCATTGTGCTAGGTAGAATGCGCATATGTGAATATTTCTGTGGATCTGTATGGAAAGCTTATAAAGACCAGCCATTCTGAATACCTTGGGGCTTTAAAAATTTAGTAGCTAAATTAAAAATTTAATCAGCATTACGCAGATCTCTAACTGTGAACAGATAGGGAAGTAACAGTTTGATGTACACTGGCTGTTTACTTTTAAAGGTAGAATAGATAAATTTGTAGATGAGCTTGAATCTGTCATTTGAAGCATGACAGACCATCCTTCTCTCAAAATTAGTTAGAACAGAGATAGGAGCATCTCTATCACTTACCTGTTCAATAACACTTTTCAAAAATAGTATGAGAACTTGCACATGTAACTCCACTTCAGAAACAGCTGCCATCTTTGCAACAGACAACTTAAGAGCCTTTAATGTACAGTACTTTCATCTGAACTTTTTCTGTAGAAATAAGGCTCTTTAATCCTCAGGATTGAAGCAAAGTTATTTTCAGGAAAAATACTTAAAAAAAAAAAGACCCTTTTTTATTGGATCTCTGATTCTCAGAGAAGCAAAGACATCGAGTAAAATTAGATTACAAGACCTTGATAAAGGTTTTTCACCGTGTACTAGGTCTGGCTGGGATG